TTTTTAGGTCAACATAAAGTATTTTGATTAAATTATATTATATTTTTAGATTTTTTTATCCATATCAGTTTAACTTAGTAATTCTATTCTTATTTATCTTTAACTACTTTTATTTGTCGTAGCCGAACGCTAATAGAGTCTCAAGAGGTGACTACTTCATTCTTAAAATATTTGATGCTCAAAATATCAAGGACATCAAAATTTATAACTTACTATATAGAACAACCCGTGCACAATAATAAAAATTCATTATTAAAAAAAATATACTTATTACAAATTGCTTAGACTGATTGTTTTCAAATCATCCAGAGTCTAAAGACTAATTTTTCTACCCTAAAAAATTAAGATATTAGATTAATACACTTACGGTGTGTTTGATAGCCTAGAAAATTAGATAGAAAAAGAAAATGTTTTCCAATTTCACCCAATTAATGGTGTTTNAACTTCACCTAATTAATGGTGTTTGATTGCAAAAGTTTTCTTGACTTTTGTTTTTCGTACCTTTTCTAGGTACAACCATTTTATGCACATTTTCTTGAATTTGTTTTCTCACCTATTAGGTGGGAAAGCAATTTCCATCTTTTTTTTTTTTTTTAGCAATGGCAACAAATTCTATCAACTATTGCAAAAAGAATTTTCACTTTTGTTGACAATTTCTATGCAAAACAAAGTCGAAGGAATATGGTAGTTTTTTCTAATTGTTTATTTTTTTTTTACTTTTTGGTAATTGGAACAAATTCTAGACGCAATGGTAGAAAAAATTATCACTTTAATGGACAATTTTCCTAAAAAATGAAGTCAAACGGATACCAAACTTCCAACATTTTTCAGGTGGAAAATTATATCAATCAAACACAATTAATTTCAATTCCCAGTAAAACAATTTCTAGACAATTCAATTCCCAATAAAACATTTTCTTTCCACATTTGCAATCAAACGGACCCTTAAAAGTTAAACCTAATAGAATTATAATTGTCGTATTAATTATACGCCCAAAACCCTTTTAAACCCTGAAAGCCCAAAGAAGCCCCACTTTTCGAGATTTTGTCAATTTTTTTTAATATATGTGACTTTTTTAAACTTCTGTCACTTTTCGTTTGATAGTCTATCTATTTTTACAGAATTGGGAGTTAATCATACCACATATATATTGATTTAAAGGAACATGATATGTCAGTGATAATTTTTAATTGTGATGCATCTTAACTTCTTTAAAAATGTGACATACACTTTGAACTTTACAAAATCGTTACCTAATTTTAATGATAAAACTGCAAATTAATAATAATAAGAACAACTTGATCTCTTTTAAACAATGTTAAAATTTAGCTTCCTAAAAAATTGACATGGTAAAAGTGATATACGTTTTAACAAAGGTTGTTGTAAGTGCATTCTATTTGAACAAAAATTTTGGTCATTTTATCACATTTCGTTATCTTGTTCTGCCTCCTCAACAGATGAAGATGTAGATTTTATCAATATCTGCAACAATAATATAAATGAAATGTGTGAGACATTTTTTTTTTAAAGTGACAGAAGATATTACTTTTAAATTCTACCATATTAATTCATATGCAATAGACAAATAAAATGTTTCATTATGTTACTTTTTAATTTAAAGCAAGACTTAAATTCATATTCATATTTTTCACACACACATGTATGCATATGAGATAGACTATACCCTTCTTAAAAAAAAGTGGTCTATCATGTCATCTTGCATGCATCACTTGAATTGATCCAAAATTAACTTTTCATACAATTCAATTCATATAAATTTGAATTTCAATATATACTAACTCATAATCATTAATATAAAAATGAAATTTCATATGTATTATTAAAAAAAAACTCAAAAAAGTCAGAATCAAAATGAAAATCGTGATGAATTAATTGATTTAAAAGTAAAAAATATACGAACCTGTAGATTTGGAAAAAGAAAACTTTGAATACAAGGTAGAAAATCTGCCGTTGATCTTGTTTGGACCTGATTTGCTCAAGATTCTCTCTTTATGATTTTGATTTTGCTTGATTTGTGTTAGGGAAACAAATTCATATCCCAAAAATCATGGTCAACTGCATTAGGAAACAATTCATACGTTAACGAGGACATCAATGCCTGCATTATAGTAGCATTAACAAACCTTGACAGCTCCTATAATAATGCATTTGATTGTAATTAGAAGGCAAGAATCGTACTACAGTGACATAATGTCATATGCACTTTATCATTTGACTGTTTTTTAACATAATCAATTTTTTATCCAATCACATCTTACCAACTAATATTATATCACTTCATGTGTCAAACCACTTCTGTCAAAGTGACATATCGTAAAAGGCAATTCACATGTATAAATTGAATACAATACTGTCAAAGAAAATAACACTTACCACCATCACTCTTCTATAAAAATTCTCGTTTATATTTCGGATTTTTGAGCTGCAAAATCATCTCTTTCATTCTGTTGTTTAGAATGTAAATAATACAGGATAATAATTGAAATTATAGTATTTGTATTTTAGCTGATGTTTATAATGATTTTTCAAAAGGATCCTGTAATTAAGGATATTTATGTGAGTTTCCTTTTTCTTCTGCTTCTCATAGGCCCCTTCTTGTCTGGCACTGAATCATTACTACATGATGTTTTTGTGTGTTTTTCCAATTTTATCTACTACAATGGTACTTAGGTAGATGATACTAGTAGGATTTCAGTTAATTGGATTAATATTGTTACATTTTGTCCATAATCCTTGTATTAGGTTTTTGGAGATTGTCTGGTTAAAAAATAAAGAAAAGTTTTGAATTTACGTTAAATTATTTTATTGGTAAAAATTGTAGTTGAAAATGAGTTTGAGAAAATGAATTTTTGAAAAGAAAAATAATGGTATTGGTACATCATGATTTACAGATTGATGTACATAATGATGACATAAAAGAGAGAATGAAAAAAAAAAAAAAAAGATCATCATTCTATAAATCGATATGTAAACTAGCATTATTCTCTAAGTAATGGGTTCAAACATACCCCCACCCCCTAAAAAAGCATTTTAGAATAACATTTTGTTGGAAAATGTACGTTTGCGTGTAATTATTGAAAAATATGTGATTAAAAATAAGAGTTAAAAAAAAATGTATTTTGGCTATTTGGTTATAATGACTACGAAACAAGGGCTTTAGTTTTTTTAATAAATTAAAAATTACAAAAAAATATGGCTTCCATTCGGCTCCCAAAACCAAGAGCTGATTTTCCTTAGAACGCACCCCAATTCATTTTCTTCAATCTCACACAACTGCACGTTAAAAACCCCCAGAAAGTGTGGGCGACGAAACCCGGAACCAGATCAGTGCGCCTAAATACAATCGAATCGGGCCAGTTATTCATTAACAGTTTGACGAGGTACTACACTTGGAATTCGTTCTTGTTTTTATATATATTTCTTCCTTCTTCTTTTTTTCCCCCTTCTAGCGCATTGTGAATTTTGTTTCTGGGTTCAATCGCGTGATGGATTTATTGGAATGTTTGATGCTTGGATCTGGAAATATGTCTCTGAAAGGGAAAAATGCTTTTTCATTTTGATTTGTTATTTTGATAAGGGATTCTTTACATTTGTCTTGGAAAAAGGTGTGAATTTGTTTTTTTATTTTTATTTTTTTGTGACATTGGGTGTAAATGAAACAATGGATCTCAACACAATCTTGAACCCCACATATAGTTGAATTTTTAAAACTTTATAGACAAAAAATTAGTTTCATAAGAGAATTGAAATGTTAATTTCCAATTAAATTTTACCCGTAGTTAGAATCCTAATTAATTATTATGGCAAAATCGTGGTAATATTAGTTTTCTTATTTGTTTGCAAGCGGGGTTATTTACAATCCTTACTGTGGCACACTCCTTCGATTTTGTGCATGATTTGCAGTATGTTGATTTCTAGATGCGGTACTCGTATCCAGTTGCTGTTTAATCTTATCTGATATTTTCTCCTGAATGCTGTTTCCTCTTATTTGATATTTTCCCCTGCATTCCATCATCGACAGTTGAAAATATTCACTATAATGTTAACTATTATTGAGTTTTATTTTGGCGTGTCTTACTGTCTTTTGATGAGCTATCTCTAATGTTCCTAAATGTCGAATGCTTGCATCTTGTTATTTTTCTACAGTAGTGGTTTTAGGGGTACACTTGATAACATATACACCTATAACCATACTCACCTCCATCTATGTTTGGAGGTGCTGTATCTGCTCCTACCAACAGTCCACATCTACGGAAGTCAGGAAGCCGACCTGCAATTTTTGATCTAGGTAAGAGAAGACTTTAAATATCAGACATGTTGTTACTATGTGCTGGTTTTCCTTTTCATCAATGGGTGTATTCCATGCCTTCTGATTGATGGACATTAACTTCTAGGTACAACTGAGTCGGGTAATAGTTCAGGAGAAGATTTCTTGCATTCTGTAGTGTTAAATGAAATGAAGGGTGTGAGCACATCGTTGACCAGTGCGGCAATTTTTCCATCTCCTGTTCTTCTGTGGAGATTTAAGGTATCACGTTTACTTAAATGATCATTTTACTAGGGATAATGTAATTTGATAAGTGATACAAATGCGAATTATTCGTATGAAATAATCAAAAATAATATGAGAACATGTTTGTATCGAAATGATAAAAAATAATGAGAAATGATGAGAAGTGGATAAATTTTGAGGAAACCTGGACCTCACAATATTGGTAATTTGAGGAACGAATAAGCCTCCCAGTTACAAACATCTAGTTTGCTAAAATAATTTTTCAACATTTTATTGATTGGGGTTTTAAATTCAAGATAAATGATTCACGTTCACTTAAAAATAATAACACTAATTGTTCCATATACCCGCCAATGACAAAATAAAACTACTCATAGCTTCTCAAACCAAGTCAAAAGATAAATAGAACATAAAAAATAGAAAAACAAAATTAAACACTAGAACCCTAATATTCTGCCCTCCTTTAAGACATCCTTTCCCTCAAGGCGGAGTTTGTTGAAAAAATTCGTCTTTCCCTCTGTTTCCAAAATATGAGTAGATATGATGATATTTTGACATCATCATAAAAAAAAAAACAAGATGATCTTCAAACTTCAAAAACATGGAAATGACAGCTCTATTATAACAAGGCATTGGACCAAAGCTGTATGGGTTGAGATGCATGGTTGGCAGGCTACCATGCTGTATTCCTTTCTCAAAATTGATTGGACCTTGAACAACCAAGACCACCATTAAGCTAAAGAACGAGAAGATCATTGGATGGATATTTTTCAGACTCAACGAGATAGTTGTACAACTTTGTCCATGAATTTCAATGATGGACTCATATCCAGAATAATTTTGGGAGGAAAAGTGCCACTGAAATCTGTGTGAGCTGTGCACCTCCAGAAGCATTCTCATGATTGAAGTTTCGATGCGTTGCTGAAGCACCACCACCAGATGCTCATGGTTTTAGCACTCTGGAAACTTGCAGGAGGTTTCATCTTCTTGTACTATCTTGCGTTGTTCATGAACTTCTTGTGTTACTACTCAAAACATTTCATTGCAGTCTTGATTGCTCAACAGTGATTGCAATTTTGCATTTACAATTTCTAAGAATTCTTCCAGTTTGCCCTAAGTTCCTTTTGAGAATCAGACAAGACTTCCACTATCATTCAACTCGTTGCTCTAGTGACAAATTCATGCTTTGATGCCAAATGATACAAATGCGAATTGTACGTATTGAAATAATTGAAAATAAAACGTGAAAAGTTGAAAGTGGGTTGATTCGAGGAAACATGGACCTCCTGATATTGGTAATTCGAGGAACCAATAAGCTTCCCAATTACAAACATCAAGTTTGCAGAAATAACACATTGACATTTCATGCATTGTTTGCTTCGAGTTTAAAAAAGAGAAACCATTCGTGTTCAAAAGATGAATAGAACATAAAAGAAAATAGAATACAAAATTAGAACCATGATCCATTTTAAATGTTCTGGATATGTTTTTCTCACTTCATTTTTGTTTCAGTTTTGGAAATGAGGAAACTATAATAAGGCAATATGTGGTGAGAAACATGGTTTGACTATAATTATTATTATTATTTTTTTCTGAATCACGTGCCGAAGCCAAAATAAAACTCCTTTAGAAGCTTTCTGTGTCTGCATTTGAGCTATCATCAATTACACATTTTTGCTAGATATAATTTAATTCAATGCGCAGGTACTGTTGTTTTTCCTCTGGGGCTTCATTTGTTGCAAGGTCAGTTTAAAGTTTTTGTACATATTTGGATGTGGACAATCACGGAGTGATTATACCTGCTTTTCAGTGGTCATGAATCATGATATTCGTGTTTTTATACGTAAAATTGCAGATTGGATGGGATTCAGTTATGAGAATGAGTGCAGATCTGCGAGATTTATTTTTATATGAGGCTTTTTTGTATTATAATCCTCTTCTTCTTGTGGTTAGTGAAGTTGTTTTGCTGAGTTCTTGGTCTATTCCATAGAGCTTATGTCTCGAATTATTCTGTTTATATCCTAAACTAAAAAACTTCTTTTGGTTGATCCTGCAGACCATGATGGTTTGGCTTTGGGGAATAAATTTATGGGTCTTTGTCCAGGCTAATGTTGGATATGCTAAAATTTTTGACCTCGATCAAAGCCATCTCACTCATAGAGAAATATGGAAGGTATCTTCTTTTCATGAATGCATCAGCAAGAAACTTGGTCTTGCCAGAGATGCTGATATCTGATGCCCCTCAATATCAATTAGACACCATTTCTCCTGGACCTAGTATTCAGCATGCATTAAAATATGTATTGAAATATTTTGAAGTTTGTGCATTTTTGGAGCACTATGCTTCCCAATAATTCTATCTGACGTCATATTTTAATTATAATTATCTTAAAACATCTTGCTATCATACTGTTCTTTAGATTTTGAATCATGACTTTCATGTGAGCATTGGTAGTACTTGATGTTACCCAATACATAACCTTGGAATATGTGGCGCTGGATAGGAAGACCATCCAATTGACAATGACTGTAGTCTTTGCATATTCTGACTTCAAAATTATGAGTGTCTGTGAAAATTTATTCCACACTGGCTGGAAGCAGTTTCTTTTTCATTTACTCCATGTAAATTTTAATTCTGTTTCAACGTGGCGTTTCTGCACAATTCTATTAATTTGTCCATCAAAGTAGCAATACTCTCTCTCACCCGTGAGGAGGACATAAATTGCTCACACGTGTGGAGGAATTAAACGGTAGCCTCTTTCGTTACCAGTTCAATTATCAATTTTTTTCTCTTAAGGGTTGTAGATAATGTGTTTTCTTTTTGCACAAAAGGTATTCTTGACTTCTGTTCATGCATCATTAGTTCACTATAAGGGAATGCCTTTTTTTTTGCGAAATTGACTAAAATTAATTGATGAGAATCGCTTGAGACTTTTTGTGGTTCTTTTATCTCTTTTTTGCTATATGTGAATTATACTCTTTTCCTTTGATTCTGCAGTGTGCCATCTGGATGACAATTATTGTCCCAACTAGCATGACGGCATATCTTTATCTTTATTCTCATGGAGAAGTTTCATTGGCTGCATCCCAACCAGTGTAATAGATGCTTCTTTTTGCAGAATTTTTGCTTATGATGGTGTCATTTAATTTTTTTTATAGATGCTTCACCAGTTAAAATATAGGGTGAAATCTCATTAACTTCTTTAACCTTCTTTTACCCATCTATTCCTATATTTGATTCATCATTGCCCCATGCCAACTGTTGGAGAGGCTATAACTACATCTACTGATATGGAGATGCCCATAAATTGGATAGAGGCACATGTTCTTAATTGCATTTTTGTGAAATTATATGATAAATTGTTCCCGATACTAGAAGAAATATTCATAAATATTAACTTTTGATATTTGCTATGTTTTATAAATTAGAAACGTCTGATTTGGACACTATTGTTCTTGGGAAGTTCTGTACTTCTTTCCTAATTCCTATAAATATTTTCTGGCTACTGTTTTGAAAGAGATTAGGGGATTCGATCCTGATTCCCACGTCTCTTGCAAAAGATGTCACCAATTTTTCTCCTGTGTATGGAAATTATAATTTTCAGAGTTTTAGATTGATGACTCAAAAAACATAGCTCTTCAAGTCTGCTATTTTTCGTGTTGGTTATTAAGCGTTATGCACTTTAAACAGCGCAAGATTTTAAATGAGGTGGTTCAATATTACCAACTTGAGTGGGCTTTGATTCTAAATAAAGCAGAAAGTGGGGCATTGTGGTGATATTCTGTACCAGTCTTGTCAATTAGTTTGTTTCCTAATGATTCAGCTGGACAGTCCCTAGTATATTTCTTAGTTTGAAATCACCATACATGTCAGAACTGTCATGCTCATGGATAAACATGCTTTTTGTTTTTGACAACTTCTGAGTTTTTATGTTGTATAATTATTCTGTAAAAACTTTTCCATATGCAACTGCAGGTGCTCTTATATGCTGCTGTGGCAATGACCCTCATATTTCCCTTCGACATTTTCTATTTATCAACTCGCTACTTTTTGTTAAGAACTTTGTGGCGAATAATTTTCCCTTTACAGGCAAGTTTCCAGTGCTGCAATTATGTTAGGGTGCAAATTTTGTTGATTGTATCAGCACAAGTAAAAAATATTGTTCTTTCCAGTTTTTGTAATGAGTTAATTATGTTAGTTATTTATTCTGTGTTTGTTTAGTATATTTGGAAGCTTAGAAACTTAAGAGTAATTGTCTATGATCTATAGAATCTTAGATTCACGAGGTGAGTTTCTGGCTTCTGGTGTTAGATAAAGGCAACTTACATCTGCATCTATATGTCCCAGGGAGATGGAAAGGACTATATGAAGTTTTGAAAAATATCTTAAGAGTGAGAGAAACATAGAGATGGAGCTAACAAGTAACAATGTCAATATATTACCTTAGAGCTTGGCTACAATATTTCTTTTCTTAACCCCCTGTTTGGTGGGAGTTAAAATCAGATTTTTAGTAGGTTTTGATAAAAGTTGATGAGATGTGTGGTTGAAAATTTGTGGGTCCCAGAAATGTGTGGTTAAAATTAGTTGTTGACTTTGACTTAGATTAAAATCTAAGTTTTAATGTTTAGTAAATAGGGGCTTAGTCTATTTACTCGATGAAGTTTAGTAACTAGCACCAGATTAACTTTTTACAAGGAAATTGTAATTTCATGGGCAGTGAGTGGTACAATAAATAATAATTTGGATGTCTTGGTTTTCTTTCTGAGTAGAGTTGTAGAAAGTGCAAGATAGAGGAGGAATACTTTGATTAAGAATTGAAAGAATATAAAAATGTTACTAGAGATTGTCTGTGATAAACTAGCTACCACCATATTATCATTGTAAAAGGAATTTATAATTTCATTTTCTGTGAGTGGTACGAGAAAGAATAATTTGGATGTCTTGTTTTCTTTCTGAGTATAAATAGGGTTGTAGTAGAAAGTGCAAGCTAGAGGAGGAATACTTCATTTCCTTGATTAAGAATTTGGAGATTTTAAAAAAGTTACTAGAGATGTTTCTATAATGTTCTATCTTATAGATGCACTCATTCTCTCTTTGGTGTTTGGTCCAAGAACTTGGATTTGACATGCAATCACTTTGTTCCAATCTTGGGTGTGCAGCCTTGAAGAGCTGTGCATGTGAGGTGGAGGCTTTTTATCCTTCTGAATTTTTTATTTTTCTGGGTCAGTGGGAAATCACTTGTAGGATTAGACAATGAATTCAGTTATACAGGCATATATAAGCTTTAAACTCATTGATCCTTAGAACTTAGAAGGGTTGAAATTATTAATTAATCAAAATTTTATTGCAAAAACCTAATATTGAAACGAATTGTTAGAGAGAGGTCATAGAGATATTTTCTGTTCATTGCTTAGTCTAGGCAAGGGCTTCTGGTTGATTAACTCGGGTAAAATGTGTGGGCAGAATGTTCTCCTGCAAGAACCTTGGTTTTCCCCCTTCGTCTGCAACAAGAGATTTAGACGGTAAATATTAGCTGAGCAGAGTCCTTCGAATTTTAATTTATAAATAGGGGTATCTATGAGGACTACTTGTTGACGTCAACTATGGCTTAGAAAACTACATCTCCCCTTAGTTTCTATATTAGTGTGTTGTTCCAAGGTTGTCAACAATGCTCGAAAAAAGAGGAAAGAAGGTGAGATAAAATAGGAGTTAATTCTTATTCCCTAGATTGAGATGATGTATTTAATTGCAATTAAGATGATTAAAATTGTTAGTTACTGTTTGGGTGTCATCATATTGTTTCTCATATATTTATTTTTGAACACAGGCAATAACATTTCCTGACTTCTTTTTGGCTGATATATTGACCTCAATGTCAAAGGTGAGCATGCTAATTCTGTTTTAGCTCTTGATAAGGTTGTCTTTATTATAGAAAACAGTCGTGCCCATTTGTTAAGAGATTAACTATGATTCCTCCTTAAAACTTGCCATGTTGAAACAGTGAATTCAGTTTTTGCTATGTCTCAGAGTTGATTTAGAATAGTTTAAGATAGGAAGTAACTTTGTTGTCTCTTAGTTATGAAGTAGGTGCCGTAGGAATTCAATACAACTGCATGACTTGTGATAACTGCAAATGCCACTGAGAAATAGGATTGACTTTCAAATTCATTATGCCGATCTTTCTAGCATAGTATGAATCTCTTGAGGACTGTATTGTTATGGTGTCTCATGTTTGATGTTTCTATGAAAAGAAAAAAAAGATTGTTATGGAATCTGAGGACCTTCCTAATCTGGAATTTGGTAGCTGTGGATACTTTGTTGTGGTGTCCAATATCTTTGAACTGTAATAGTTGCATATTGAAATATTGGTGTTGGGTGATGTCTGGAGGTTACAGATCAGCTGATTATAAGTCGTATGATTTGGGTGGTGTTGACTGATGGTGCCAAGTAATCTCATTCTCACATGTGGTTCAATGAATCTGGAAGTATTGTGCATGTCTGAGATTGCATCTTTGTTTTTTGGTTGGGCTGGCACCTCGCTGTATTTGACATTTATATTTAGATTATTTTGGTTCAGTGAATTTCTTGACTGGGATGATTGAGCTGGGTGTAGTTGGATGGTTAAAGGCTTAGGGACAACAATTCTGGCTTGTCTGGTGTGGGCGGTTTATAGGCCGTGGGTTTTGTTACTGGGTTGGGATACTGGACCTAGAGAGCTTGGGCTGACGAGTTTGTATTGCTGGTTTTGAGTGGGCTGTTGGTGGTATTTTTGGGCAGACGAGGCTGGCCATTGGAGTCTAGGTGGCACTGTGCGCTAAGAAGACGATTGGGCTTTGGAAACACTATGGACTTTTTATTTGAGACAAACAATTAACTTTTTTTTTTTACGAATAATACAAGACCTTTTCTCAGACATAGTGAGAATCTTTCATTATTTTATTGACAGCTAGACTCCTTTGTATTTTATTTTTTATTTTTTGGGTGAAAAATTATTATAAACAGTACCTCTTTGTTCTTTTTTGATTAAAAAAAAAACACCAGAGTCTGAAGCTTTTGATGGGAAAGTTGGGTTCATATATATATATATATATAAACACATATATATGTATATATATATGTATATCGATGCACAACAGGAGAGAGAAAGGAGGGAGAATGAACAAGCATTTAGATGGAGAAATTGTATGGCGAACTTTTATATTACTTGCTATCAATAATCAATGGCCTACATAATTCAGAAATATTTAGTTCTATATACTTCAAATATTTAGTAAAACCGGGAAGTTACTAAAATAAAAAATGGAAGCTTTCCTAATTTAAACTAATAAATAAGGAAAGGAATAAATCAAAATAAATCCTAATTTATTTCTCCATTCTATTTCCTAAATAAATATGTATGTAATTTTTTGCATGTTTCCAATGCCAATTTTTATCACATTCTTAGTTAGTCGAATTATGTTATACTTGCTCGTTTGGTTAACTGATCTGTTGATCTTGATCTTCCTTCTCATCCAAGAGTGATTCTGATCTTAATGCACATCTGCCTACTTGTATAAAATAATTGTTCCGATGTGTATCTGCACAAAATTAGATGAAGAGTTCATTGGAATGTTTAAAGCATGTTAGTGGCAGTGTTTATAAATGGTTTTAAATTGTACTTAAATAGAAATTAGTGGATAAGTGGAGAGTACTTGTGGATCCCTTGAAATATATGGATAAAAAGTGGCTTAAGTGTTTATTAACAGTTATTAAACATGAGCCTAGCGTAGGATTAGAGATGGAATTTAATTTATCGACTCGTATAACATTGACCGTTTCCACATTAAGCATACGACTGATATTGCCCTTCATTTATGAGACTTTCCCCATAGAACTGTAGTAAAATCCTTGGATAACAGCCCCAAGGTTTGGGTAAGTTAGAACAAATGCTATTTTGTTTTAGTTCCCATTAATCTGGCTTAGCAATAACCTAACTGTGGTTATGGCCCTTCAAAATATGCTCTTTAGGAGTTTCTGGGGTGACTAATTCATACTATCATGCAGGTTTTTTCAGATTTGGAGCGTTCAGTTTGTCGAATGGTCCATCGCCAGGTTAACTTTTCTTTAATTATCTAAGCTTCTTTTCATATCACATGATCATCCTTTTTAACAAGATTTCATCAAGGTCCCCATCTTATGATTCCAATCACACGTGGTTTAAAAGGTTGTATTTTCTCAAATAGAAAAATGTAAATATTTTGATAATGAGAAATATCTTTATGGGAACTGTTGCCACAATAGCTATTACCTTGAGTACTAGGGTCACAGCCATCAATTGTAACATGTCTTTGCTGCCAGAAATTTTAAGATTCTTGTGGCGAATTTTACGTTGTTTACCTATTATGTTGTATATGCTAGCTTATATTCGCATTAAGGACAGCCCTCATTCATGAGAGATTGGTCATTAACATCTGCAGGTTGCTACAATTGCATGGTTTGAAGCTGATTCTGTTTGTGGAAGTCACTCCATTGCAATCCCTATAGTTCTTGTTTTGCCTTATATTTTTCGATTTTTTCAATGTCTTCGGCAATACAAGGATACTAGAGAGAAAACAACTCTATTCAATGGTAAATGCTTGCACTTCTGCTTTGTCTCCTTTGTAAAGACATGTTAAATTTATTACTGAAATTGGGCAAAGTCAATTAATCTAATAAATTAGTGCACTTGCTCAAATTCATTGGAGTCATGGTTACAAATCATTGAATAGAATATTTCTTGATTTGGTTGTAGCTAATGCAAACCAGTCAACTTGTCGTTGTCATTCTACTTTTAGAGCGTTTCAAAAATTCGGGAGAGCTCCCCTCACCTCACTCATTGTCTTGACTCTTGTTTATATTTGGGAAGAACAAAAAAAAGAGCAGAAAGGGTAGTCATAAGTTTCTACATTACTTTTTGGTTTCTTCGTCAAGGGAAATTTCTGTGTGTCTTTGAAGTATTATTTGAGACTTAAAAATGCACAACAATAAAATCTCAAATATACGTTGAGTAGAGGTGGCAAGAATGAGGCGTGAAGGCAAGGGACACTTACATGGTAGTGACATTTCTTGAATAGACTTGAATTGGTTTCCATTCAAAAGAGCGATGCAATATAAGTATTACATGGTAGAAAAGGGAGACACAAACTAAATTTAGCATGGCCTGACATGGTTGTAAAAAATTTGGTTTTTTTAGACCTTTCACTAGGTGGGTATTGGATAGCGTGAGTGATGGAAAATGATTCATATAATAGACTCTTTAAGTTTAGTTGGAATAAGAGTTGATTTCTTCTTCTTCTTGTTTGTTGTCTTAAAAGTCTAATTTCTTTCAGTTGTGCGTATCATCATTTTTTCTTCACCCCTTTCATCTCTTTGCTACTTTGGGGGCTTGGTAAGTGCTGATAAATTCTCATCTGTAAGCAAATGTCTAAATTAAATTAAGTTATTTTTAGAGTTGATAATGGGTTCTTGACAAGTGCTGATAAAAACTTATCAGCAAGCAAATATCAAAATATAAATAAGTTATTTTTAGAGTTGATATTGGGTTCTTGACAAGTGCTGATAAAAACTTATCAGCTAGCAAATGTCAAAATATAAATAAGTTATTTTTAGAGTTGACATGAGTCCGAGTCAATAATTCTTAACTTCATATGCCTATGGTTTCAGCTTTGAAGTATTCAACAGCAGTCCCTGTTATTTTTCTTTCGGCCCTTAAGTATCATGTCTTCCCCGATAAGTGGACAAATGTCTATCGGCCTTTGTGGCTTCTCTCCAGTGTTTTGAACTCTCTATACTCGTTCTACTGGGATGTGACACGAGATTGGGACTTGAGGTATGTGCACATTTTTATTTGATTCTAAATTCTCAAATTAAAGTGGATCTGATTTTTTATGCGTGTGCTAATTCTTGAGAAAATGTTCTTAATGTGATATATTGGAAGTTATTTTCTGATTTTATTTTGGGAAGGAGAATGAGTTGAGATTTCTGATCGTTGTCTCTTTTTTCTCCAGCTGCTTCACTCGGATTTTCAAGTTCAGCAAACCGCATTCCTTGTCCCACATGATATACGGAAGGAAATGGGTAAGGCCATGACTCTCACGTTTTGTTATTGCTTGGTGTTTGAAATAGATTTCTCGATAAATGGGGTCAGGATATATATATATATATACACACACACACAGGAGCGTGCAAACATGTGCGTATAATGGATAATGCTCTTGCAAAAATGAGGTGTGTAACCCTGTAAACTGTGCTTGGAACTTTATAGGTGTATTTTTGGGTGATCGGAAGCAATCTTATCCTGCGATGCACATGGACATACAAGCTGTCGGCTCATCTTCGCCATAATTACCTCACAGTTTTCACCATAACTGCTCTAGAGATGCTCCGACGCTTCCAGTGGGCTTTCTTTCGTGTAGAAAACGAATGGAACAAAATGACCTCGAAGACAAATATTCAACTCTCAACGAGTGAGATGGCGAATGAGGAAGAGAAATTACTTCATTCCAATGGTCATAGTGTATAGATAACTAAAAGCTAGCCAGGGATGGCTGCATGGTAGACTTGCAATTCATATATTCATTGATTTTCTCATATTGTAGATGGTATCGTACACAAATATTCTTGATTCGAGGGAATCATTTTATGTTAGAGTCGATGCTTATTCTCTAAATAATGCCATTGCTTGTTCTAGGAGCACGACCAGCAGGTCTTCTACTTTCTGTTCATCGTGGAAATTTTTCCAACGCTGCCTACAATAAGAGTCCAAAATTAAGCTCTTTTTGCACCCATAACGGCTAAACGTAGCTTGTAGTTTTCTAGGTAAAGGTGAAAAGGACGATACACAGACGTATGTAATTAATCTATTTCTCTCTCTTGCAATTGGCTTGTTTTTAAAGATTGAGGACTAACTTGTTAATTGGACAATAGGTTGAGAACTAGTGTAGCAATTTTCCTTTAAAAAGAGTATTAACAGCAGCAGCAGTGGCTATATCTGTTCATAAGTTGGCAATCTTTTGTCTATACTTAGCTTGTTTGGAAGAGATTTTTGGGGGAAGAATTGATTTTGAATAGTGATACGATGGGAAATGTGTGGTTGAAAAAGAAGAAAAAGTTATTNAATTGATTTTGAATAGTGATATGATGGGAAATGTGTGGTTGAAAAAGAAGAAAAAATTATTGATGTGATGAAAAATATTATTTTATTGAAAAATGTGTGATTGAAAATGAAAATTGATTTACTGTAGAAAAATTTAATCTCTCCCAAACAGGCCTTAAATAATTAAGTTGACTTCATTACTGTAATAATTAGTTTACTTTGCCTGAAGAAAAATGTGTTTTTGGAGAAAATATATTTTGAAATAATGAATTATTTTTTTTAAGAATGTTTGGTTAAAAAGGGCAAAAAAAGTTTTGAATTTAATTATAATATTATTTTATTCGAAAATGTGTGGTTAAGAAGAAAAAAGAAAAATGCATGTACACAAATTTTCACACAATTTTTTACACCCCCCTCACATGGAGGGGGGTCCACACATAATAAAATAATCGTGGGCCCCCCTCCATGTGAGGGGGGTGTAAAAGATTGTGTGAAAGTTTGTGGGTACATGTAGCATCACCCCGTATGTAATTAATCTATTTCTCTCTCTTGCAATTGGCTTGTTTTTAAAGATTGAGGACCAACTTGTTAATTGGACAATAGGTTGAGAACTAGTGTAGCAATTTTCCTTTAAAAAGAGTATTAACAAGCAGCAGCAGTGGCTATATCTGTTCATAAGTTGGCAATCTGTTGTCTATACTTAAATAATTAAGTTGACTTCATTACTGTAATGATTAGTTTACTTTGCCTGAAGTAAAATGTGTTTTTGGAGAAAATATATTTTGAAATAATGAACTATTTTTTTTAAGAATGTTTGGTTAAAAAGGGCAAAAAAAGTTTTGAATTTAATTATAATATTATTTTATTCGAAAATGTGTCGTTAAGAAGAAAAAAGAAAAATGCATTTTGCATAAAATAGAGCCCAAACAGGGGCTTAATTTTATTCATCAAGAGCTTGATGAGATGTACACAATTTTATGAATGTGTGATGTTCATCTAAGAATTTAAATTGTCAAAATAGATAGATTTATTGATTATAATATATTATAGAGTGGCAAAATCAAATAAAACTTCCAAAACTGGGGTCTCTGCAGACAGGCACTTGTTTCTGTTCAATTTTTTTGTCCTGTTCCATTTATTCTACTACCACAGTAATTTGTTTAGGGTCAAACCCAGCTTTTTCTAGTCACTTAACAAATCTTTGCAGTGTAAATTTTACCTGGGATTTATCAAAGTGACAGTGACTTTCAATGTTGCTAATTATTCACACAGAAAGAGGCACTTGCTAATAAGCCCATCTCTTTCTTTACAACGTTAAGCTGAAAGCTTGAATCTTTAGCCTCTCCTCCAATGCCATTCTTCTCGAAATCTGTAAGTCTCTCTTCCAAACGCGCTTATTTCTGTGTTCTGAGTATCGAATCACTTATTTTCTCACTTCTTGTTAAATGATTTTCATTATTTTTGTTCTTTTTCTTGGTCATATGAATGAGTAATTAACTACTAGAATTCTATTTAATTGTGTTTCCTCCTGATCATAAGAGTTTCTTGGATATTTGTTTCTTTATTTTCTCTTCTTTTTTATGTAAATGTTGCAAATTTGACAACAAGATCTGGCGCAATTCTGGGCTCATTCTGGTACTTGATGCTGAGATTCTCTCTTGGTTAGTTTGTAGGTTTGTTCTGTTATTATGGGATAATTGCAGCAAAGGTCCCAAACCTTTCAAATTTTTGCGCACTTTACCTTAACATTTGATTTGTGCCAGCCACAGTCCCAAACCTTTCAAAAATATGCAGCAGAGGTCCAAATGGACGGATTCCGTCCGTTTGACCGTTAGTCAACCAAGAATAGTAAAGTTTGACCAATTTTGACAATTTTCGAATGGGCAGAGTGGTAAATTGACAATTAAAA